TAATGTCAGCTTATACTCTCCAATTAGTATAGTACTTTGGATATTTTGTCTTTGCTAAATTATAAACATTATAATATTACTGGTTCTTTATGGAACAAAAGTGTGAGTATTATCGTACAAGCCTATTTTCCATTTTGTTTGGTTTCTCCAGAACCTAAACTGTCTTGACCTGAATAATTTTTAACGGGAACATCAACTGCTGAGGTACTCATTGTGGGCAAAATTTTCCTGGGTGACATGTCCAAACTCTGACTAATTGTATTTATGAGTGTAATGCTTCTACCTTTTCCCATAATGTGTGGCATTTAAGTTAGTTTATATTTTCTTCTTGAATTATGAAACTCTGATTTTTCCTCTAATTCATCTCTTAAAAAAATAACTTGTAGCAAACATAGGAAGTCTTTGAAATTGGCTGTACATTCATTCAGGGACCAACCTTGCCTATCTTTCCTTTCACCAGTAATTATCATGGGTCTTTTATCTCCACATTGCCTGACTCATACCTGATAACATCTCCAGTTCTTGGTTACTCTAATACAGTTTGCATATGTCAGGTAATTGATTCCACCTTCCAGAATCCCTGAGTCACAATACTGCAGTCACAGACTTCTTTGCTTTACCACATAACGGAAACAGACAAATCATTTCAGCACCCCTGCCCCAGACTGCCTCTGTGTGAGCTGAATGTAGGTCATTGCAGACAGGGCTGTGATGCGAGGTGCCACAATTTCAAGATACACTGCCTCCTGCCTTTTGATTTAAACTCAGCCTCTCTAAAACGTAACTCCCTGCCCCTCTTGTTTTAATGGAAATTTGCCTTCAACACAATAAAACTAGCATTTTCAATGGAATGATCTTTGGGTAACATACATGAAACATCTTTACAGACCTTAAGCCATTTAATTACAAGTCTTGCAGATGAAAAACACAGACTCAAAGGAGTTTAACCAACTTGCTCAAGGTCAAGTTGGGATTCAGCCATAGCTTACTACAACCCTGAAGCCCATGGTTCACAGACTATCTACAGATGACACATACAGATTCCCAGGCCCTATCTCTGGGGAGTTCTGTGGGTGGATCATGGCTAGGGCCCTTCTATTGTCTATTATCTGCTATTTGCGACTTATTTTTAATGGCTAGGTAGCCTTCAGTCAAGACAGGAAACTAAACCAAAGAACTATATATTTTTTATAAAGCCAAGGAAGATGCGAATGGTTTAATTTTATAGAACCTTATCTTGGGCTGCTCTTTTCTCCTTTCTTAAATGGATTGGTTCTCTATCAGGCAAATGATGTGGAAAGAAAAACCAGAGGCTGGTGTAGTAGCTGCCATGGTGAGCTTGTAAACTGCCTCTGGGAGTAAATGAGGAGAAACCCTAGTTTATAGCATTTGCCAATTTCTGTGGTGTGAATCCTTCCACCATGTTCAAATGGTCAATTTCAAACTACCAATGCTTTGACAACATGCTCACATAATTTCTGAATATTTAGCAATTGGACCCAAAACCAGCTTCAGTATCCTACTGAGCATAAAATACATAGGGGGAACTGAACAATTCCCAACATTACCTAACTTGTCCATTATGTAGTTCAAATAGGTTGTGAAGCCCCCAAATATCCTGCTCTGACTTCCAAAGGGGGCTCAGTGGCCCAGTCCTCATCTCTCTCTCAGTTTCCAAGGACATTCTCTGATAAGGGCCTGGGGAATAATAGAGTTATGGATGGAACTAGCGGATGGAGCATTTTGTGGAAGAGAAGTGGATGTCATCTTTAGAATGACTACTCTTTCCTCACTTGCCTTATAGCAGGTAGTTCTGCAGGGGAACTGCCCTCTGCTTGAGAGAGGCTGCTAACCTTAGCAGCCCTCACAGGGCCAGGTGGGAATGAAACAAGGAACAGGGGTTAAGAAAGGTTGGTTCTAAACCTGAGAGAAACGAAAAGGGCTAGCTATGTCTTTCTGTGCCTCCACTCACCACAGGAGAAAGATGCCTAAGGTCAAGCCAGAGTGCAGGCCCAACATTAGCGTCGAGTTTGCCAGCATAGGCTGAACATAGCACTGGCTTGCTTTTAACCCATGAGTTAGGCTAGAGGGGCAGGCTGGCTTCTCAGCCCCTACATGACCAGGCCCGGTAGGCACGACCCAAGCTCATCTAATGAGAGATTGTTCTTTTGGCTGGAGTAGCCCTTGTGCTGCTGAGTCATCTTGGGAGACAGTGATGATGGCAGTTTGGCAAAGATGAGCACGCTACCGTGACTCACGCCACCACATGTAAAGGCACCAAAAACATATTCCAAAACCAAACATAAATGATTCTGGGATCACTTGCCATTTTAGATTATTTGTTCCTGTGGTAAACTTGCAGAAGTTGGGATAAACATTGTTGAGGTATCTACAACTGCAGCAAAGTTATATAATCCATCTTTGAGCTCCCTGGGTAGCCAGCTGCAACACGACTTGTATGAGGACAAATTAATTTTGAAGATTAATTCACTTTCATTCTGGTTGAATACATTTGTACAAGAATTCAATACCCATATACTCTTTTTTTAAAAAAAAATTTTGGTTGTTTTTTGTTCCTCCTTTTTTTTGTTGTTAGGGATGTTAATTAACGTCCATATACTCTTTTCCCTGACTAGAAAGATAGACGTTTCATTTATCTTTGAAGACAACAAAGTTAAAAATTAACTCCCAAATGAATCAACCAGAGAAAATTGAATCACAATAGGACTCACAATTTTAGTATAAACACTCCAGAGTAGGCAGTGTGGGTAGTTTTTGAGTAAGAAGACCCAGATTTAATTTCACTAGCTATCAGATCTGGGTCCAGTCATTTAATCTAAGAGGATTTTCCCACCTGTAAAATGAGGATATTTATGCTTAAATCTCATGGTAACGTTTCCTACCATGTGCTAAGCATGGTTATGATGTTCTTTATCCTAATCCTCTGAATCATCCCTTAAGCATTCTTAATGTTGACTCCCATAGCGATCAAGATGAGATCAGACATGAACATGCATTCCCATATATGTGTATGAAATTGAACAAAGCCCCCCAATATATGTGTGCTTGTGCATTTTTATCTGGGCTCTCAACCAGGGACACATGTGAATCTCAGCATTTGGGGTGAAGATGGGGGCAAGGAAGGACAGAGGTGTGCAAATTTTGGGAAGAACATTTATCGTGATTCTGATGTTTGCTCCCCTGTCTAGTTTGTGAGATACCAATTTCAACAAAAAGACCAAACCATCAGTTTATAGTAGTGATTTGAAAGTGTACTGTATACTTAAAGTAGAAGTTATATTAAAGAGAAATAAAAATTGAATTACCTAGGAATTTCCAGAGAAATGAAAGCATATATCTACACAAAGATTTGCACACAGATATTAATGAAAACTTTATTCATTATAGCCCCAAACTGCAAATAATCCAAAAAGCCCACTGTGACTGGGTTAAAAGGGATCATACATGCCAAACACATAAATGACTCTCAAAAACATGTTGCATGAAAGCCAGACATAAAAGGTGGTTCCATTTATATAAAATTCTTGCCAATAATTTATATTGACAGAAAGATTGGTGATTGCCTTGGGGACCAGAGGTGAAGGGATGGATTGAACTGCAAAAGGAAATGAGGAAACTTTTATGATGATGGAAATGAAACGTACCTTGGTTGTGGTGTTGGTTTCATAGATGTATACATTCTTTCCAAACTCATTAAGCTGTAAAATTCATAATAATTGTAGTTTATTGTACATAAAATTATGCCTTAATTCAATTTTTAAATCAATTTTATTAATAATCCGAACTCCTACTAGATGCCAGCAAATCTCACGGAGTATTTCTCATGTAATTAAAACTACACACCAACTCAAAAGCATATCCTTTGAGTTGCTTTTTTAGTAAGAATGATGGGATTGTACTGATCCTTCAGCACTATTCTCTTCCTTGGGCCTCTTTTAAGAGGCAATCAGAACTATACTTGAAAGTTAATTGTCAGGCAGAGATTGGAGTAACGACCTCAGCCCCATAAAAACCATACCCTAATCCACCTTAAAACCTGATAGACCAAATTCATGTGATGTGACTTATCCAGTGGGTGTAGCCAGATTCTACAGTCTGTGGCTATAGACTGTGTTATATAGAATTCCTGAAAGCTAGCTATAATTCCTCTCTTTACTGTAGAGCAGTGGTCAGCCACTGAAAACTATCCTAAATCAACTAAATCAGCCAACTTTTGAGAAAGAAGACAAGGGCACCTGTAAGCTTCCAGAGAAACAATGTTTCAAATTTATTTCACAGCTAATATGCCTCAGTACATATTTATATAGACACCAAGATGATTTGTGTTCTAAAATCCAATTATACACTAATTTCTAATTTTTTATTTCCATCTTTAGTGCCTAAGTAAGTTTTTAAATCAAAGAACTATTTTAAAAGCTCAGTGGAATGTAAGCAAATATTTTGTATGCCCACAGTTCTTTATAATCTAGTGATAATGTAAGACCTTTAACAAACTTACTGTGAATCAATGATTTGCAAAAGCACTCGACCAAATTAAGCACTTTAGAACAGACTTTTCACTTGTTTTCTAACTATAGGCATGAATATTCTGTGTATTTTATCTTTAGTACCTTCTATGTATTATTATAAATATTTCATGTATTATATTTTACAAAATCCATATTTTTTAGAAAACTAAATTTATCATGATTTGCAAGATAAACAGTAAGACCATAGAACATGTCCTATGAGTAAAGAAGAATAGTCAAAAATTTGCATTAACTTTTTAAAAATGAGTCTGCCCTGGAAATTATATGTTTTTCCTACATTTGAGCAAAAATACTGTGGGCTCAGTTTTGTTGCATTTGGACAGCTGCAGAAGAAGTGTAACATGTGACTAACCTGTTATGAGTAGAATGTTTTTAAAAGATAATTATTTGTTCCAAGTAATAACTTTCTAGAGAAGCTTGAAATGCTTCAAACACTTGAAACAGAATTTGAAACACTTGATCAATTTTTATTTCAAAATGTCTGCAAAGTTTTAATTCTCCATTATACAAATAATTTTTCAAAATTCAGACATTATTTAAATGTAAGCCAAAGTCCTTATACAAACAGAATACACACAAAGATCAAAAATATACATACTCTCTCAGCAAACTTTGTTACATAAATAAGAAAAGTATATACAAACTGGTATTTCAATCTAAAGTACAATTATCTTAACACTGTAACCACATACAGAAGGTACCAAAATAAAAATAAATACCACGGCAAAAGTTAAAGGAACAACAAATTCATTTTATGACATCTACAGTTACAAAGATACATAAAGCCAATCTTGGGGGAATGTATACTTTACACTTAGATCTTAATTTTTACTTCACTTTATTCATTTTTAAGAATATTCTCCAGATAGGTGAAATTCACAATTCTATCAGCTATCCCTGACAACCTAATACAAGTTAGAACATGTGAAGAGCTATATAAACTATGTCTCTGTACTTTGGGATAGATGCAAAAAGAATTCTTCAAAAGTTAAATTTATGTGATTCTGTGTTAAAATTTTCCAAGTAAATGAATTGGCTATTAAAAAATCAAACAATTCTTTTTTTTTTAAGTAGGAAATGTTAGAAAAAAATCCAGACAAAAGTCTCAACAGTGCAAAGCAGTAAAGAAAAATTATGCCAATGTTTCCCCTAGATAAAAGCAACTCAACGAGGTGTCTAATTACGTTTTGCCCCAGAAATTCTCCTTCCTTTTCTGAGCTCTTGCCAGAGTTTGAAAAGCCCGGAAACTGGAAGCTGCAGAGCGAGCAGAAATCTCAGATAATCTGTCCTCATCTGCAATGAAAGAATTATATTCAGTGCAAAAAAATCTCTTATGAAAATACTACCTTTTAAAATATTAACAAAATTAAGAGCATCAAGTTTTGTAATGTCAATATTGACTGTCAGAAACAAGTAACTTATTAAAATATAAGATATTAACATTTTTTAGGATAGTTAACAGTAATTTCCCAAGTTTATCATATTGAGAAATCAAACATTTTAATATTAAATGAGTATTGTTTCCTTCCTGAAATCCCACAATGTCATTACCTAAACATATGACCCGTGATTTCAGTATTACTTGGAAAAAATTCATCATCATACTGTCTTGTCCTACTTTAAGAAGCACAGCTGTTCTGAGCAAAAAGCTTTTTTAATGTTTTAAAAACAAACTGCCATACCTTAACATGGTACTCATCACATTTCTAAAATAATTTCACTTAATGTAGAAATAATGTTTGACTTTAATATGCTACCCTTCATTATTACTGAAGTTCCTCATTCTGAGTAAGAAAACCTATTATCAAGTTATTGGTAAACACTGTTCCATTAAAAAGAAAATAGAACTAGATTCAAAATGTCCAGATATTGGCATTTCAAAACATAACAACGTGATTTCTAGCTCACTGAATTCTGAAAAAAGTCTCAAACTTGCTGAGAGAAAACCTCTAATGTATGTGAACTATAATATATAAACTATTACTTCAAATTTACTTTCAAATTCAAAATTTATAAATTCAGTGATTTTGTACTTCTTAGGGTGAATTAAAATAGTAATTTCGATTGTTCAACATCGAGGATTCAAAATTCCTCCTGCCACTAGTAAAAGCAAATGAATTTGTCAGAAAACTATACAAGAAAAAAATTCATTTTCCCTAATCACATATTTTTTGAGATGATACAGATATTTGAAGAAAATGGTGGATATAATGCTGGCTAAATTCCTGAGTCACCAGCTAGCCAAGATGGAACACAGAGAGTACTGACCTCAGGTGTGATGCTAGGCACAATCTCTTATGATTTAAAAAAGATTCAAGGCTGTAAGGGAGGGTATAGTATAGCTCAGTGATAGAATGTGTGCTTAACATTTCGGTTCAATCCCCAGTACCTCCATTTAAAAAATAAATAAACAAACAAACCCAATTATCTCCTAATTTAGTTCCCAGTTGACTCATGTATAATATTGGGATAATTTCATCTTCTTCACAGTGTTTCAAGATCTAATGAAATGACATCTGTGGAAGTACTTCGTAAACTATAAAATGCTTATCAAGTGTAAGATCTTTATACTATTATAAACTACCGTATCTACAATAGTTATTTGACTATTGAAATACCTTCATCATTAAAGGCTTCATGCTGAGGTAACTGGAAATTGTTCATCCTCGATTTTCCCACTTAAAAAAAAAGCCAGAAGAAATTATCCTTCAAAGCCACCCAACAGTATATCTTATTTGTAGGCAACTCTAAGTGAAAGCAGGCTTTCAGAAAGTTTATTAGTTTTATATCTTTAATAGAATGTATCACAAAAGGGCAACTCATTAATTCGTAATGTGCTTAGCAAATATGTAAACAATGGATAACCTCCTGGGATTCTTTTCAATAATATTGATCTATTCTAACTTTAAAGAAATATATAGTAGGCGTCTCTTTAAAGATGGTAGATTGACTGCACACATCTACACAAATGACATAAACCCACAGGACAAAGAAAACAGCAGCAAAAGTTTGGAAAGTGGCAAACAAATAGAAGGGCAGTGAGTGTGTGGTTATCATAGGCAAGGGAGTTGAATCCTAAGGGAGATGAACCCTAAGGCAGCAGAGGAGGGAAACCAAGAAGCTACCAATTCGCTCCCCAATGGCTGGGGGTTAGGGAGTAGCACTGAAAGTTGGAGAGAAGGTAGGCCTGAATCAGGAATCCAGTAGAAAGTCTTTCTACAAAATAGTATGCCAGGTCCTTTTTTAAATTTACACAGCAGGGTAACTGCCCCTCTCTCAAAAGAAGAATAGAGGTCTCATCTCTAAAAGGTTTATCAGAGCTACTTTGAAGGATACGAGGTTCAACTGGGGGCAAGGATACCATATTTAAAATACCATTTATCAAACAGATAAAACATGCCATCCATGAAATAAGAACAGGATGCTGTATAAAAGGAGTATATAGTGTTTTTGAAAATCTTAGAAATTTAAAATATAGCAAAATATTTTTTAAAAAACTCAAGTAGAAGATAAAATTAGTAACCTTTTCAAATTAAAATAAAAAGACAGAGATGGAAAATAGGTGAGGTAAGGTAAGAAAATATTCTGTTCAACATGTTCAACATCTGAAAAATAGAAGTGACAGAAGGAGGAACCGGAAAATGGAGGGGAAAAAATTATTAAATAATTTAAGAAAATTTCCCAGAACTGAGGAACATGAGTTTTCAGATTGAAAAGATCTACTGAGCACTAGCAAAATTAATGAAGAGGGTCCCGCTATAAAACTTCAAAGCACTGGGTATAAAGAGAAGATGCCAAGTGCTGCTAGGAAAAAAAGAAAGCCACATACTAAAGATCAAAAATAAAAAGAGCATCAGACTTCTCAACAGTAATGGTGGATGTTAGAAAAGAGCAGAGCAATATCTAATAAAACGTATGACCTTGAATTTACATCCAGGTAACATTTGGTAATGTCTGAAGACATTTTTGGTTGTTACATCTGGGGAAGAGGAGCTACTGGCAGCTAGTGGGTGGCCTGTACTTTATGGGAAAGAGCATGAGAGACACCTCACAGCAACATGAAAGCTGGGTACAGCACAACTGAGTGTTCCAAAGATGAGATTTTTTTTCTATTTAAAGAAATCTATTACATTAACTAAAAAACTAAATAATAATTTATTAATATATAGTACATACTTAAGAGCCTTTGGACCTATCAGTGTAACACTTTCAATTGTGTAAACAAAAAAATAAAATCTAAATAATTACCATTATGCTGAAATTCTGGATCTCTCAGGGAGCCCTGAATCCGACGAGAGGGATGCCAGAAGGATGAGGCACAGGGTGGAGAAGGGGGCTGCCCAGGTGTGTTTGTTGTATATTCTGGAATTTTTGAAACTGGAAGAGTTGCCTCAGCAAATCTGGGGATATTGGGTTCAGAATCTTCCCTCAAAGGCAGGGGATCAATTGTCTTTATACCAGCAGCTGGAGAAGTCAGGAGGGATATAGCATGACTTTCTTTCTAAATGATAAAAAAAAATATATATATATATATATATAAATATATGCATGTGTACATATATGAATAAAACAAACATTTAAACACAAAAATTTATGTAACCATAAAAGCAGTAGGAGAAAATATGAGGAAAATTTATGTAGCCTCCATGTGGGGAAGGTTTTATAAGCCTAACAACCAATACAGATAAACATATTTAAGTATATAAAAACAAAAAATAGATAAATATTTTTAAAATGACAAACTTGGGGAAAATATACAACTTACTACACTGACAATGAATTACTATCATTGTTACATAAATATTTCTTTAAAAGTAGTAAGATAAACCTAATTTAAAGTTAGAAGAAGGATATATATCAGCACTTCATATACACACAAATTACAAATAGCAAACATACTCTACACCTCACTAATAATCAAATAATATCAAAATAAAAACACTGAGGTACTAATTTTCCACTTACCAAATTACAAAGATTAATGTAAAAAAAAAACAAAACTATAATGCCCCGAGCTGAGAAGGATGCAGAAAAACTGCACTCTCACACAGTGATGCCAGCAACACAACCTTCTGGCAGAGCTGGCAAAACAGCACAAGCTTTAACTCTTTCACCACACAATTAATACTTGGGGAGTATTTACATAACATTATGAACAAAAATGTAGCTAAAGGATGGGCTTCTTTACAGCATTTTTTCAAAATAGGAAAATTAAGAAATAACAATAGGCATCTAGTTTTAAAAAATATGTTTCAATAATAATATCTGGTTAAAAACCCTAAAGTATAACTACAGATCGTATATCATGTCATCATTAAAAATTAGATTACAAACTATATTAATGATAGTAGAAGTATGTTCACAATATATTGCTAGGTGAGAAAAAAATATATTATGAAAACTTATCCACAATATAATAAACACGCTATATATCTAAATAACTCAAAAATTCAACAATGGATGTTTCTGAACAGTGGGTGTGACACTGTTAATTTTCTTTTCTAGTTTGGTCAGTATTTTCTATTTTTCCACAATAATAATGCATCACGATCATAAAAGTCCCTGTATAATTGTACTTTTTAGGAGAATGCAAACCAGTAAAATCAAATATATCTCCAAACTTTCCTGATTATTCCTTGTAATTATTCCTTTTAGTTATTAACTTTGAGTTTGTCAGTGCAATATTCAAAACACTGCTTTCTGACCTGTATCATTACTGCGATTCGAGGGCTCACCGCTTCATAGTGGAGATAGCCTGGGGTCTTATCCAAAACACCAATATTTTTAAATCGAGATCTAAGGAAAAAATTCACAGATCTTCCACTTGCTTCCCTTTTCAACTACAAGGATCTCTCATGAAAATTATTCTTTTGACTTTTTTTCTACATATATATGCAGAATTTGGAATTTCTGCCAAGTTAGTTTTATTACTGTTAAAAAGACCTGAATTAAATTTGTAGAATATTTGTAATACATGTGGTTCCCAGGTCTAATTTAACTGACTTCATGATCTGTTCTTGAACCTAAAAGCCTCTCATCGGCCTCACTGCTTCTACTCTCCCCCAGTATAGCCCACTCTCCACTGAGTAGCCAGAGTGATTTTATTTATCAAGGACATCAGAGACTTATATTTGCTTTGTTGCTTGAAATTCTCCAAGGGCTTCCTGGTGCCATTAGATTAACACCCCCACTCTGTACCCAGCTTCCCTTTCCAACCTCACCCCCTCCCCTCTCCTCTGCCCTCTCTAGGCTCCAGTCACACAGGCCTTTCCCCTACTCTTTGAAACTCTGACTATTGTACCTCTGCACTTGCTGTTCTTTCTACCTGGAGAACAATCTCCAGCCCAGATCTCTGCATGGGCACCTCCCTCCTTAGCCAGGGCTTAGTTGAAATGTCACCTCCTCAGAGGTCCCTATCCTGACGACCCAAACTAAAGGAGTTTCACCCATCCCTTGGAGGTCATCTGCAGTTTCATTTAACTCATAGCACTTACTACTACTTGAAATTATCTTTTTTGGGGGGTAATTAGGATTTATTAATTTATTCATTTATTTAAATGGAGGTACTGGGGATTGAACTCAGGACCTTGTGCATGCTATGCACACACTCTGCCACTAAGATATACCCGCCCTGCTGAAATTATCTCTTTAAAAAATTGTCTATTTCTTCCAATGAAAATGTAAGATTCACGAGGGCAGGGACTTTGTCTTTATTACCAATGAATCCCCAGATCCTAGAACAGTGCTTGGGACACAGAAAGAGCACAGTAAGTACTGAATTGAGTGAATGAAAATGAAACTCCTGATAGTCCCTTCTTGGGCAGAGTTCTCTAACTCAGTGCACGGCACTCCCACATCAGTCCTGCTGGGCAAGCCAGAAACCTAGAAGTCACAGTCTGGGAAAACACACTTCTCAATCCTGACTGGTCTTACATCAGATTTGGGGCCACTACCCTGAAATGGGCCCTTAATATTGCCCTGCAGTATCTCACATTCCCTTGGCCCACCCACTCACTCTCCCACCCTCTGACAAGACTATTTCATGCCTTCTTCTCTTGAACTTCCAACATTTTCTTGCTCAGCCTGTTCTCTTCATATGCCACCAAGAAGCAGTCAGAAGACCTTTCAAAAGCCCCCATCACATCTTCCTATGTTTCACTGGAAGAGCCCATGCACTCTGCCTTCTCTCTTGCAACAATGAGGGAACTGCCACAGGGCCTAAGGCCAACCTTCCCACATCTCCACCAGGTCCTTCCTATCCCCCTCCTTCTACTCTAGAACATTGCTCCAACAATCTTCCTCTTACTCCTGCATCATCTTTTCTCCCTCTTTAAAACTGTTCTCATCAACATACAAATGTGCTGTTTTCTCCTCCATCTTGATCTCACTTCTTCCAACTACCACTCCATTACTGTGTTCCCCTTCACGGAAAAAACTCTTGAAAGAATTGTCTGTGATGACTGTCTCCAATTCCTCTCCTCTCATTCCTCTTGATCTCACTTGCATTTTGTCCCTCCCTGTCCCACCTCCAAAACTGCCCTTTGTCAGGTCACCAATGACCTCCATGTTGCTAAATCCAATAAGCAATTCTCATACCTTATTGACCCATCAGTAGCACTGACACTCCCTCCTCTTTGACCACAGTCTCTTGTTTCCCACCACTTCGCTGGCTGATCCTCAAAAGTCTCTTTGCTGGTTACTCCTCAACTTCCCAGCAAAAACGTGGGGCTCAGACCAGTCTACACCTACTCTTCTCTATCTATGTCCACTTCGTTGATGATCTCCCTCAGTCTTAGGAACTTACACACCCATACCACCTATATGATAAAGAAGAGCCTCAAATCTATATCCACAGCCCAACCTCCCCTCTATACTCCAAACTCAGAGTTAACTCCCTACTTAACATGTCTACTTGTGTGTCTAACAAGCTTCTCAAATTTAATGTGTCCAACCAGAACTCTTTGATCGTCAATGACAAATCTTTTCCTCACACTATCTTCCCCATTTCAGTTAAATGGCAACTTCATCCTTATTGCTCAGGACAAAAATCTGGCATCATCCTTGATCGTTCTTTCTCCCATCTCACATTTTATCTATCAACAAATCCTGTCAGTACACCTTCAATGTATATCCAGAATCAGACCTCATCATATGACCTCCACAGCTACCACCATGATCCAAATGACCATCACCACTTGACTGGATATTGTAATTGACTCCTAACTACTTTCAAGCCCTTCCTCTTGCAACCCTGCTGTCTATTCCCAACATAGTAGCCAGAGTGATCTTGGAAAAACCTAAGTCAAGTCATATGACTCCTCTGCCCCTCCAAAAGCTTTCCATTTCATTCAGAATAAAATTCAGTCTTTGCCATGATCTATAAGGCCCTACACAATTTAGTCCCCATCCTACTCTCCCCCTTCTTGCTCTCAGCTCCAGCCAGACTGACTTCCTGCCTTTTCCTCAATGAATCAGGTAACTTCTCACCTCGAGGACTTTGCACTTGCTGTTCTTTTTGCCTGGAATGCCTTCCTAGATGTGCATACAGGCCAATCCCTCACCTGCTTCAGATTTTGCTCAAATGCCCTCCTCTCAGTAAGAATTCCCTGGCCACTTCCTATTTACTTCCCCAGATTTATTTTTCTATTTAGTTCTTAACACTATCTAAAATACTATGAGTTTTACCTAGTAATCCTGTTTATTGTCTCTCTCCTCCACTGGAATATAAGTTCAGTGAAGGCCAGGATTGCTGCCTGTTTCTTTCACTGCTGTATCTCCAGTGTTAAATCAGTGCCTGGAACACAGTTGGAACAAAACTACCACAGAGTAGATGCTCAATAAATAATACTGTTTTTCTTTTGTCTCTTCTTGTTGGGCCTCTACTGACAAGATGTGAAAGTATATCAGCAGAAATACAATGTCACTACCTGCAAAAAAACAACTAAATGCCTTTGCCTTCTGAAAGCAGGTTATTAGCATTATCTCCATGTATGATAGATAGAATTTTCTAAAATCTGAATCTCTCATTCATTTATTGCATGTGACTAAAATAATCACTTCCTGAACAGATGCTTTTCTCTGAAATATAAATATTTACCTTCCTAAAATCATTCTTCAAAATTTCTAAGCCATCCTGAGGTGACATTCTTTTCCTCTGTTCTGGGACTAGAGGCTTCACTTTAGATGGAGACACTAAAACAGCACCGCCTGGAAAAATACAGAAGATGCCAGATTTCAATTAAACTAAATTATCACGTAGAAAAAACAGGTAAAATAAGAACTGCAGTGTTTGCCTATTACCAACAGCTGGAGTGGTAAGATCGTGGTGCGTTCTCTGGATTCCACCAAGTTCTCTTAACTTTGGAGTAGGAAGCCTGCCTCCTTTTCCTGAGGACACAGAAGAAGACTCTGACCTACAAATAAAAACAATCTATTATGAAGCATGTCCTCCAGAAAATATGATAAAAAATATTCTGCCGTCCTTATGCAATAGTAAAGTATAAACCTACAAGAGAAGGCCATTTTGTTTCTGAAAAATAACAAATTCATACACAGTTAAGAGTAACTGAATACTGGAAAAGAGGGGAGATCACTGCAAGTCAGCAACACACCAGAGAATTTTTCCATTAAATCAGAGCCTAAGTTCCATATTAGCTGCAAAACTCATGAATAAATGACAGGGGGGTTGGACTACAGACAAAAAAAGACCATAATCAATGGTAGAGAACCACTCCCCAAAGCAACTGACATATAAATCAATAGGAATTAGCTATTTGCAGAAATAACTTATTTTAATATTGTAAAACATTACCTTTTCTTTTTTGGTATAACCATCTGATAGTGAAGAATATCAACTATTTTCCTTAAATCATAAAGAAAGTCATTCTTCCAGAGACATTTACAAATCTAGCAAGCCATAATTAGCAGGATATAAATGAAAATAACCCTAACTACTTCCTCCCCAAGTAGCTCGGTGTTTAAATGTTCAATTACCAATTAGTGGTGACTCAAATATATGAGTGAATAAATTATATAAACCATATAGAAATGCCTATTTCATGACATTAAAGTAAAATCTGCTATTTATTAGTCATAAAACCGAAAGTGTAAACCACTTTTTGTGGTTAATTACTGACAAAACAAAATACATACTAACTGTGAACAATAATACTTCCATATGTTGATTAATTTAAAACTCACCCTTCTTTTATCTTGTCTGCTTTAGATTTTTCCTGTATTTCCACCATCTCTAGCTCTCCCACATTACCCTGCTTGTCCCTTTCCCCTTTCTCCTCCTCTGTCGGCTTTTTCTGAACATCTTCAGTGTTCTCTGCATCCCAGGCGAGACGCCTTCTAACAGGTACAGTGGGAGCATCTGACACACCTAGTTTGTCTGTGGTAGTTTCCTGGGGCTGTTCTTCCAAGATAGGTCTTTTTTCTTCTAGTTTTGTAGAAGGACATTTCTGCAAAGTCTTATGGTTTGTAGGATCTCTGCGTAACAAAATAAGTTTTATTTTAAATATGAGGAGCTTGACCTTTCTAGTTTATACTTATTTTAAAAGTCCATCATTCCCTTCCACTGTTCACAACTATGTGTTTCCCACTGATACTGCCTTGCTCAGATATTGAAGAAAAAAAATCTAATTGAGTTCATTTTACAGTACAGCTAAAGTTACAATCAATTAAAATATTCCAAAATAAAATATATTTATCTCTTTTTACTCCTACCATCACACATATATGCCTGCACCACTGCTGGCAAAACTCATATGTATCCCTCAACCAGCATTCACATACTTAAACTAGGACCCCCCCCCATATGGTCTAACTTGTTCAGTTACTCAGTTGAGTTTGACACAAACTCAGGTGGACTTGTGAATCTAGTCAGCTGACTCAAATTTTATAGTTCAGACAATCTTTTCAAGTCATTGTTAAAGAACAGATTTTGTGATGAACTTTGAAAATCAGATGTCACATAACTAGAATTTATAGTTCAAATTGGTATGTATGATTATATTAGTACACTATAAAACCCAAAGTTTGTGTTCCCTTATAATCTAAAATGGCAGATAGTTCTCCCACAGAATCATAGCCAAAGTTACAAATTAACTACAAAATCCACTAATGAATTACAGTGGATATGAACTAATAGCTAATATTTTCTAAGTTTTTATTACTGCTGCTTTTTGTTGTTTACTTTTTAAAGTTCTTTACATCTACTATATAATCATCCCTATTTCGACTCTTAACTGTTAATAAGGAATATTATAGAATCCAATCTTCCAGATTTAAATTATGTATTCTACACAAGTGTATAAAGCAAGTACGTATGTATAGCTTTACTTTTTAGAGAATAAACTAAAAATAATGAAATGTAATAAGTGGCTGGTATATTTCCATTTGACTAGACAAATTTTGAATCTTCATATCATTTTCCTACGTAATTCTATTATCTACATAATCTGCAACATACTTTTCCACCACTCACAAAGAACATCTCACCCAGCAAGATCTAGTGCTCTAATGTTGCTGCTAATGGTTCCCTCTGAGCTTGTGGTCGAGGAGACGTCCCAACAGCAGTTGTTGTCAGACAGAATCTGATTCAGATGGTCCCGAGAAAAATGTGTTCCCTGAACTCGTTTCCTATAAAACTCAGCCTTCTCTCGGAGTTCTTTAACCTATGCAGGACAGTTAATATATCACGTGTTATTGTAAATGCTCCTTTGCAAATATCACCAAGTAGCATATCGAAGAAACTGTATAAACGCAGCCAGAGACCAAGGAGAAAGAAAGGCCACATACATTCATCAGACTATGTGCATTTATAAGCAGAAATTAAAACAGTCAAGCTGAAGCATAATGCAGTTATTTTATTTCAAGCCAGCAAGCAGGGAGAAATTTGCAGCAGCTCAGAAAAATAATGACACCTACTGCTTACGACAACTGAAATTTCACAAGTACTCTATGCATTATTACAGTTTTTGAAAACTCAAAAGCGACCAACCTCCGCATACCACATGGCATTTAGAGAACCCTAGGGGAGAAATACAGAAACATACTTAATGACAGGTTAATGCCATAACTGAATATTAACGGGAATCACTGAAATATGTTAGTATTCTTCCTTCTGAATATATACCAAAGTTGTCAATCAATATTTTTTTTAGTATTTTCAGTAACATTTAATTCAGTAATCAAGATATTGTAACACTGCCTTGAAAACCAACTACATTCTTGAATGGGTGGAACGCTGTCTATGACAAGGTAACCTAACCACTCTATTTCCCCACCTCTGGAAGAGTACTGATGTGCCAGAAACCCCCAGCCCCAGTCTTTATTTCTCAGCTTATACATAGCTGCTACTACTAGAGAAGCTACACTGAGAGAGCCATGAGGCTTCCCTCCCCAAATTCCTCAACATTCCCTTGTAATCAGCAAAACCTCAACTTAAAAAAAAATGTATTAAAGATACAATTTCAAACACTATCCCACAAAATAATAACTGTAATATATCGAACAAAGTGACAGGTTACCAAAAAAAAAAAAAGTTCTGATGAACTATATGGTGATTTGAGTTCCCTAATATGCAAATAACATATTTTCATATGAAAAGGAATGTTTTATACTCATTTGAAACCCTTTGATTTTATACATCACACTGCCACCTGCTGGCGTCCCTAAATACAATTTCACAATGTAAAAAAACTAAGTTGCCGCTTAAATTGTTCTAAATAATCTGTTTAAATAATTCTCAAAAAACTGTATAATTTTTTCTATCATAAAGACAGAATATTAGCCTTAAAAGGATATCCAGATACTGTCTGCTAAAATTGCTTGTCTTTAACATAAAGGCAAAAAAGCAAATAATGAAACTAGGTGTTGTAAAAGCAACTGGAGGGGCATACATCCTCAGCTCCATCAGGAGACACTATTGATGCAAAGGGATGCCAAGTTCTTTGTCTCCAAGGAGTCAGCCAAAGCAAAGGACAACACCTGCCAAGGCAAAAGAAACCACAGGATCCCAGCAGAGTCCTATTGTTCCAATGAACCAAACCTGAAACATTCCTAAAGGATATCCTAAAGGATAATTCAAAATGTTGTTTTCTTCAAATGTTTTCTTCACTGTCAAAAAAAACTGAGCCATCTTCATTTATCTTTTGTCAACTCTTATAAAGAAAATTACTGGTAATGGTTTTTGCATTTAACAGGTAGAACTGAGACGCGTGGGTTGAGTCTGTTGAACTCTTAACCAGGGTATTCTGAATCCACAGGAACCGTGTAATAAAGTGCCTTGACATAATCCAGATTCTATTTCTTATAAGTCCCTACATGTTTCAAATGTGTCACAGCCATTCCATCACCTATGTGATGAAATCTTCATGCCTTAGCATCACTTCTTCCTCTATGTTCGAAAAGCCCTTTGTGTATATCCCCATTAGTACTTATTTCATTCTTCTGGAATTAATTGTTCATGTCTTTCTCCCCCATTAACCTATAAACTCCTTGAGGTGAGGGAGAATGTAGCATTTCAATACTGATTCCACAACCTGTCCTGAGCTAGATGGCTGGTAGCCAAAGATAAGCAAGAAAGTTCCTGCACTCAATGTGTCACAGTCTGGTAGTGGAGGCCGACCTCCTCCTAAATGATAAATCATTATCATAGTATTGGTATGATCTATGCCATAATAAACAAATAAGATACAAACTGAAGGAGTGGTTCAAAAGGGGGTCCTAATAGTCCTGCACTGTGTGTAGGGTGAAGTGGGAAGGAGCCACAGAGAAGGCTGCATTCTATCCATGTGGAAGGACCTCACTGATGAATGAGAGGACGGACAAACATCCCCTCCACGTACACAGGGACCCAGTTTTATTTGATATCAGGTTTTTAAAAAAAAAAAAGAGAGGAAAGGAGATACAGAAACTCTGTAAAACTTTATTCAGTTCTATTTGTTACTGACTTTCAAAACTCAGTGTTTTAGATTGATGTTATCAGCAATCTTTGTTAATAATCTTAGTCCTAATGTTACAATGTTTTACAAATACATAATTTTAAACTTCTATAATCCTAAACTAAGGTGAAAAAATTATAGGTTGATATTTCCAAAGTATGGTGTTTCACTAGAAACAAAAAAAAATTGATGGTGTGAACTAAAAACAATCCTTACAGCCAAAAATCAGACCCACTAAGGATATGAATAAATCATTCCAAACTCAATTAAAGCAACAGGTCAAGGAATACTGCCATATTATACGATATAAACACTATAAAGGTTTCCAGGTCAAGTAATACTGTCATATTATATGATAAAAACACTATAAGTAGGATGTTTTCATTTCTAGATTCCTTTTCCCTAATGCTATGTGAATAGGAACTTGGGACTTAGGATAAAATATCCAGTGACCAGACTATAAATAGATAAAAAGTACAATATCTCAAACAACAAAAAGGGAAATGAAGATAATATATGAACTAGAAAACTGGAACATGACTCAAAAAGTGAATTAATATTCTAATGATAAAAAAGTCACTGATGTCCAAATGCATCTGAAGAGTGTGAATAATATTCCATGAAATGTCAGGAGTAGGAAAATGAGGGAATACCTTATATGGAGGTACCTCGTCATCAGCCACACAGTGTCTTCCGGCAAAAAAAATGGAAGACTTAAAGTAATATATGGCCCATATTAAATGTCTATGACCTGGTCAACTAAAACTGTTTCCTAACTCCAAGATGCCTTTTGAATACTTTTGACCATGGAGGTTAAGGCAAACTATTCCACTAAGTTAAATATTTTCAACCACCAACGGCAATTAATAAAACAAATTCTGAAGAAAAGTCACATTACCAAGATACCATAATAGGAAACATTGAAAAGACAGGCCTTAACAACAAGGCAACAACAAAAATGTCCTGTTCTAGGAGGGCAGGACTGTCACCTATACCAAGATTTCAGACATAACAATCCTCCTAGTCCATTAAATGTTTAGATCTGAGGCCTAAATACCAACTCATCTTAGTTTAAAGAAGTCTCACAGACTAAGAGATAATCTTTGCAAAACAAGAGGTCCAACCTAGTGAAGCACCCAAACACAACAGGCCAGTGCTCACACATATCAACCAGCCACACTAGCCCTCCATGGCCACACACTGTGTCCTGCCTTTGCTTTCCCATTCTCCATCAGACTCCTCAGACATAGAGCTCCTTGCCCAGGTCTGGCATGGTCAAAAACTGCTCAAGAGTTCAGCTGACTCAATTCCTTTGTTATGTCACGGCTGCTTTCAATGCTCATTATTTTTAACTCAATTTCACCAGGGAAAATATACAAATTTTGTTCCTAACAGTATCTGAGAAAGCTTTAAGCTTGGCCTTTTACTCTACCTTTTCTGCCTCTGACCATGCTCAAGTAGGGAAGGAGAGAGCACGAAGAGCAGCTGTAGTGGAAGGAATCAAGTAACCTTCCAAAACAACATGCAGGGAACAGGAGTCACTGGGACATTGCTCTGGGAGCTACCAGGGCCAAGAGCCAGCAGCTCAACGTGCCCCAGAGGCTGATTACATGTAATTGTTAGCTACAGTTTAAATTATAGAGCTAAATGAAAGATTCACTCCTCTAGGGGAGGCTATATATAGCTCAGTGGTAGAGTGTGGGCTTAGCATGAACGAGGTCCTGGGTTCAATCCCTAGTACCTCCATTAAAATAAATAAATAACTCCAATTACCTGCCCCACCCCACCAAAAAAGATTCATTCCCCATCCAAATTATCCCTCTCTTTATAATGATGGGGGGAGGGAGTTTTTACTAAAGTCTAATCTAAAATGTTCTCATTTAGCTTATTCACACAGAAAGGGCAGAAACCACCAAGATGTACTTTAAAAGATGCTAACTATACAATAACCAAAAAAGCTCCACCATTTATCTTTTGGCAACAAGAAGCTGGTACTAAGCTAGCACTTCCCAATTCTAGGGTTACCCTTTTCCTCCAACCTTTCTTTAGGATGCTCAGAATTTCTCCCATTTGTCAGTGTATCCCAACAGTATAACTCAAACCTCTGTCAGCACAGGCCACACCTTCCTTGTGCTTACAGACTGCAACAGTACACACTGACAGTGGGTGCCAGTAAGAAACTAATCTTGAAAATTAATCAATCTTCAGGAGAGAGTAGAGATCTGAATGTTATAAAAATAATCAAATCTACAATGCTATAATTCTATAAACTGACTTTATTAACATAAATATTTGATTTAAAAATATTTTTAACTTTAAAGACCTTATAATAATAAATGCTGTATCTCTAAGGAGCTAGTTGGTGAACACACTGATAAATTATATCCTAATACATACAACTTTAAGTTCCTGATATTTTTAGTGCTATTACTGCATCATACAAATCTTTAAATTGTAGTCTCTATTACTAGGTGAAATTCATTGTGAAATTAAACTCATATAGTATCAAAGAAAATGTGGGTGTACTTATATACTCACCTGATTTGGTATGTTCTCCTTCACACGTGTCCAAGCCCCACCTTTATATAAATACTGGGCTGGGCTCAGAAATTTTGCTCTATATTCAGAATTCACCTTCCTAACAGAAATGAAATGAGAGTAAATATTTTGCCATGTTGATCATCTAAATACCTTGATATTTTTCTTAAAAAATACATACCCAAGCCTTTGATGTCTCCAAGGAGTAGGCTTCTTTTTAGGCTGGGTTGAGTCTTTTGACTCCATCTCTGCTTCCAATTTTAAAGGATCATCTGTTTTATTACACTAAAATGAAAATAATTTAACCTTTTTATGCTCAATATATGTTACACATTAAAGTGAAAACACAGATGTTATAAAATATACTTGGATATTGAATTACAATTCTGTTTTTAGAAGTAAACTTTTTAAAACTAAGGATAACACAGAAGTCATAAGAAATCAACAAGCAAGTTCTGAAACTAGTATATCTAGTTTCTTGAAGCATTATAGTTCAGGATGTGGTTTCATTTTCTAACAATAAAAATTTTAGATTTCTGGCTAGGAAAAAATTTTAATTAACAAATAAACAAATAAAGAAACCTGATGTTACTACCTATTGGACACTAGTTTTACATTTTCCCTTGATATTCTAAATCTACATTTAATTGTTATGATAATTAAATATAAGGTCCAGAGGAGTGAGTTAGCACATTGCTTTACTGAATAACTTAACTCTTTTTTTCTCTTCATCATAGGTACAAAATATATATATATATATATATATATACAATTATACATCAGATATAATACATATGATTTATACATAGCATATATATAATTTTTATATATGCATATTTATATATATAAGTCATTTTGCTTTCAATCATATAATTTTTGTTCTTAGAACCCACAGAATATCAGTTGTGACATTGCAGGAGATTCAAAAATAGGACTTTTACTCCATTTACCTATAATTTATAATAATTTTAACCTGATGCTGCAACTGAAACAGCTCTAATTTCACACAGAAGTAGGTGCTGGTATATCCTGAGGTAAATCATGTGAATTATACTGGCTATAATTTGGCATACTAAGGTTTTGGTTTAAAATACACATGTATGTGTGTTTCTGTTTGATTTCCATTATTTAACTTAAAATATGTGCTTCTATCACCACTGTAACCCCTGGAGTTCACATTACTGTAAGGCCAATCATTTGATATTAGACACAGCAGACTTAACTGCTGTATTGCTAAGCCAGGCATTCATCACACTGTATTATACTTAATTATTTACATCTCTGTCTCCTATTGGCCCAAGAACTGCTTAGAGCTTAGTGTATATCATTGTATTCTCAGTAACTACCCAGGGCCTGGCTTCTACCAAGTACTCAAGGAACATTCAACATTTAGTGAACAAACAAATGAATTAATGAACTAGCTAAAAAGAATCTCAAGTGGTGATAAGTAAAAGAAAATGTGTAAAGTTCCAAATGGTGGTAAGTAAAAGAAAATGTGCAGAGTTCAAATCATGAAGATTTTATTTTGTTTAAAGAATTAACAAATACCTTCTTTTCAGGAGACATTGTTTCAAAATTTCCATTCTCCTTCAAATCATTTCTTAATTTTGGTTCTTTCACTGGAGATAAACCCTTGAAATTTCTTTTGTATTCAGTTTCATGGATGACTGAGTTACCTTTGAATTGTGGAATAAATTTGCTTTTATTGTGGAAAACCTTAAAACAAAAATTATTTTAGTTTAGCTTTTTTGTTGGTTAAATATAAAGAACTTAGTTCTTCAATTGCTTTAAAAAATTCACATATAAAGTTGAATCATAGGATACAATAAAGGGAAAATTATATACAACTGTTAGTAATTTCATTTCACATGTCTAATTAACATCCACTGCAACAAAAGCAAAAACAGACAAATGGGATTGCATCAAGCTAAAAAAGCTTCTGCATAGCAAAAAAACAATTAGCAGAGTGAAGAGACACATATTGAGTGGAAGAAAATATCTGCAAACTGTACATATCCTAAGGGGTCAATAATTCAAAAATATTTAAGGAACTCAAACAACTCAATAGCAAGAGAACAACCCGATTTAAAAATGGGCAAAGAGGTGCTAAAACAGACACATAGGTCAGTGGAACAGAACATGGAGTCCAGAAATAAACCCACTCATATATGGTCAATTAATTTAGGACTAATGAGCCAAGAATATACAATAGGGAAGAGTCTCTTCAATAAATGGTGTTGGGAAAACCTGACAGCTACATGCAAAAGAATGAAAGGGGACCACTGTCTTACACCATACATAAAAATTAACTCAAAATGGATTAAAGACTTAAATGTAAGACCTGAAACCATAAAACTCCTAGAAGAAAACATAGGCTAAGCTCCTTGACATAGGTTTTGATGATTTTTTGGATTTGACACCAAGTACAAAGGCAACAAAAGCAAAAATAAACAAGTGGAACTACATCAAACATTTATACTCAAAATAATGCTTAAGCCAAAAGGAATAATAAACTATATCTTTTCTCCCCAAAGTTCCCTTCCCCCACTAGTTTGGTAATGGGATAAATAAAATAAGCAGATTCTTAAAATTTGAAAATACACATTAGCTTTACAAGGCAGCTCTGTTGTTAGCTCTACAGGTTTTTTTCCTCCTTGACGTGATTTTCTTTTCTTCCTGCAACAATAAAAAATTCTTAACATTCTGAATATCTGATATACGCATTTGTTCAGGTTTTTCTTCCTTGCTTATTTTTAGCTTTAAGGTGAGGAAAAAAATTCAGGTAATTACTATTTTGATTCTTGAATGTTTGCTTTTATCCTTAGTAAATTTCATAGTATGGTTCCTATTTTGTTGTATATTACCACTCTTACAAAGAAAACAAAGGGAAAAGATATGGGAGTGCAAATAAGGTATACTACTGCTTCATAATGCTGAATAATACATCTTCATACAGATCACAACCAAACAGTGTATCTTTTTTTAAGTACAGTATAACTTCAAGGAATTTTTTTGCCAAAAATTGTTGACTCTTTTACATATTAAGACACCCTTTCAGAAAACAGGTGTCTGATAAAACTGAACAGCTCCTTGAGACATTCCCCATTAACAGGCATTGAAAATTTCTGTCACAGAGCTCTTCAACCCACAGACCCTGAAGCTGATATGCTTGCAGCTAACAAAGAGCAATTGCTTCCAAGAAAATTTCTTTGAAAACCTCACTAATGAAAGCAATAAAGCTAGTAGTGAAGGTATTGCTAGTGATTTATTTTTATTATACTTCCATATACAGAAGTATAATATAAAAAAGCTGAATGATCACAATTCTCAGGCCATAAGTAATTTTGTAGGTACACTTTCTATCTAAGAAGACTTGTGAGCCAGCAAAAGTACTGATTCTACTTACTAGGTTTATAAAGGGTACGTATTGCTTTACGTTATTTTATGTGTTCCTAAGATGTTATATAAATTCCACAATTTTTTAAAAATTGAATAACCAGTAAGTAATCTCAAAGCTACTACAATTTATAGGATAACACTGGTATTATTATCTTAATGTAAGATGACATGTTATTGTCTGGCTGACTCTAATTACCCTCTCAGTCCTTAGGGGTATATAAAGTATACAGGTGAGTGAAAAAGAAAAGACTAAGCTGTCATGAGCCTCTGGGGATATTCTAAATGGAAGTACTTCCTACCTAAGTCTAGGACTATGGTTAGGAACATAAACGAGAGTTAAGAGCCTAAGAACTGTCTAGAGAATGACAGTAGTAAAACAACAGAGTATGTATTAGTAATGGTAGTCCAATACTAAAATTGTAAAAGGATACAATGAAACCTAGTATCACATTTTGTTACCATTATAGCTTTTGAATTTTATAAATACAGTTAAACTGACAATTCCTATCACTGCTGATTTGATATAATGACAAAATTATATATCTTGTGTCACTTTCAACCTATTTTGTACTTATTAAATATCCAAAGCAGTTATGCCTTCTTAGAAGACAGAAAACATGCAACGTATTAGTCAATGAAACATTTCAGAATAAAATCAACTTAATAATTTAATAAATAAAAAAATTTCACAGCATGCAAAAAACTTACCAGTCCTCAAGTTTTCATTACCCTGTCTCATATTTAGTATATGTGATGGATCTGGCAACAATGATCATCAGTAGCCTAGGACAGTATAATATTACTACTATAAATCAGAAGAAATAGGATGATTTTAGCAAAACTCTCATTTTCACTTTTCTAGAACCTACCTGCAGGCCTACTTAAGAGTCTAATTTCTTTCAGCTCTTAGTTCTATGTCAATCTGCAACACTAAATTAGATGACAATACTCACAAATGTATTGCATCCATTAAACTACCTGATTGGCTGCAAAAGTTGGAGCAGTTTCCTTAGGAGTCTTCCAAACAAACTGCCTTTGATATTCAGAACTTCTCAAGACATTATGTGAAGGAACAACAGTCAATCCGGCTTTCTTTCGCAGAAGTCTATCTAACTGTTAGGAAAAAAAAACTCCACTCAAGATCATTAAAAATTTCTATACAAACTTTCTCTTTCATTTTACACTGTGGAAAAAACACAGAACATAAATATAATCTCTTAACAAATTTTTAAATGTATAGGACAGTATTGTTAACTTTATGCACATTGTCATACAGCAAATTTTTTTCCATTGATAATCTTCCTCTTAAATTGAACTCCTTAAAATTCCTGTCTTAATACTATCAGAGAATTATTGTGCATCCCAGCAAAAGACAACATTTCTCAGTCCCTTCCTACCAATTGTTCATAATTGAATCTATCACTAAGAAACAACAGCACGTTACCTTATCCATACCTTGCTTTTGGTGAACCCTTCCCCTGCCCACAAGACTTACACATCACCTTCCTTGATTCCCCTAGGCCCCTTGGTTTTCCAACACTTCTAAATGCCTCTCTGTGGTTCCAGTCAGTGGTGGACATGAAATGGGGAGGAAGCAGTGGAGTCGAGAAAAATGTGCAAGGCAGTGAGGTGTCTGCACAGGTGCCTGCAGCCTCTGCTTATGTGCTCGCCAGGACCGTCTACAGGCCAGCTGTGACACAGGAGAGCAGAACTGCAAGATCTTTGAGATCCAGCCAGACCTCTCCTTCTTTTGCATTTTGTCAATTGAGACTGTTTTTTCTGATAGTACACAATAAGAAATTGAAAAGGGTCTAGGTATAAGTCAGCTCATCACCCCTGCCAGAGGTAATGGCCTACTCCCTTTCTCTGCCTCAACTCAATCCCTCCCTTAGGACTCTGGTGCTGATATATGATAAATAAAATCCAGAGGCATACTGTCTACCCAATGAAGGGATGTCTTAGTATAACTAGAACAAAATGGCAACTATTAAGAATAGAACTAATTTATAACATCTACAGTCAACAGCCTCTTATCAACTATTCTACATACATTAGATAAGAAAACAACAATGGAAAAAATGTAATCACAAAATGTAACTTTACTGAAATGATGATGAAATTTACAAAGAATTCTATGCTTTTGAATGCTTTTGAAAAGAAATCAGTGAATATACCTACCCCATCATCTACATTTTCTGAAAGAAGCTTGGTAGAATGCTCCAATTCCACATTTTCATTAACTGGTACGTGGTTTGCTACTACATCCTCCTTATTTTCCACAATATCTGAAGCCCCTTCAGTTCTGGAGTCTGCAGAGTGAGATCTGGTTCTCTTGGGCACCCTGGGGGCTTCCAGCGCAAGAACTCTTTCTTGGTTAACATCTTTTTGTTCTGCCTCTTGTGATTCTGGTGTTTTGGGGGCTTCAGGTTCTGGTGATACAACCACATCGTTCTCTGAGGTAGCTCCCTTCCACTCAAGAGATTTTGAAATCTGTGGGTCATAGTAAGGAACTCTTCTTTTTGAAATAAAACTTGGCTCTTTCGTGATTCCTACAAAAAGTAATATATAAAACTAGCAGCTACCAAAACATAAAGTTACAAAGCCAACATACAACAATGTATAAGAGGAGAAATGGAATTTAAAATTCAGTTGATACACACACAATATCCTTCAAGTTACAGGACAAAAAAACAAGTACAGTTTTTCAACATAAAACCTTTAATTTTGCTTTAAAGAAATATTAAAAGTTTGACTGTAAAAAATTTTTTTAAAAATCAGGGTCACAATGTTCAAGTTATCCTAACACTGGTCACTGGAATTGCAACATGATGGGCCTGGCAAGCCAGTCCCTATGTGTCACTTCCGTTTCTAATTACTTTCCTGTGCTACTTAACAGAACAATGGGCCCTGGTACTGTCAAAATTTGGAACTTTTCACAAAGCTTCTCTTATGCAGAGCAGACCAAGATGAGAAGGGATGAGATGTTATTATGCTGGATCTTGGTTCTACCTTTGCCTTGAGTTCCTGAGAAGTAAAGAGAATGAACCCTTTTAACAAGAGCTAAGACACTATTCCTCTATATTTCTGTCTGCCAAGCAAATGTCCAAAAAACTTAACCTTCTACCCAGGTAAGAAGAGCTCTGTGGAATCACAGCCACTGAGACACTGCCCTAGTTTGAAGCCATTCTTTAAACAAAAAGAAGACTGTGCAGGATGGAGAAGAAAGATTCAAGACTAGAAGGGATGAGAGGGAAGGTGGACAGACAACCTGTCATGAGGTAAAACAAGAGTTCTTTAGCCTCTATCATGGATGTTTTGGCCCCCACCTTTTGGTCCCTACCCTTACAAGGCTCCCCAGACCACGGTCTTCAGACTGGGTGCATATATGTCTAGAGGCATATGAAGACATTCTGGGGGGGAAGCAGAAATGGGCAGCTTAAGGGAATCACTTTCCGGATCCTAGTTTCCACATGTGCTACTTCCTGACACTGACCTGCCCAGGGAGGTATCTGCCATCTCTAGTTTCCTTTCTCATGGCTCCTTTCATAATCACCCTTTTCCCACTTCACAAAAGAAAGACACACCTCTCAACTATCCTACAGAATAAGAAAAAAATATAGGTGGAGAGGACAAAGGGACAAGTCAAGAAAACGTAAGTCCTGAGGGAGAATATTTGACAGCAGAGCAAAGGCAGTAGAGATTACAAATAACAAAAGAACAGTGCCTTATTTCATACAGCTCCACACCTGTTCCATCTATCTATCTCAGAATTAAAATTCAGGTGTAAGAGGATTGTCATGTGAAATGTGAATACACATATTCACATATTTATTTGAACTGAAAAATAAAGACTTTTTTTCTCACAGAAAATAATTCTAATTCACCTTATTAGTTTGCCAGTGAGGACTGACTTTACCAATTAAATTATGAACATTTACCACAAATTGAGCTAAATTAGCAGCTCTGAAGTTTTAACAAGATATGTGTAAAATATACACAATATTCAATATGCTAGAAATCACATCCTTCATAACTATTCATTACACCTATGATAAAAAAATTAAATATCAACTTAAAAATGTGAAGAGATATAAAGACTTTCTAAATTATTTTAGTGGGCATGAAAGCAAGAGTCTGAAGACTACTGCCCTAGACTTCTCTCTGCTTTAACAGAGCGTGGCTGGTGGAAGAAAAGCAAAATGAAAGGGGAAGACTCTCAAGTAGTCCACCCTTGTCTCCAGCACCATCAAAAATGCACTATGCAGGAAAATACACACACAGTGTCCAGCCAGTCCTAGGTAACGCTGCTGCTGTTCCTTGCTAGCCTCCCCCTGCCTTTCTGAACAACCTGGAGTTCTCACTCTGCCCCTCCCCCTGACCCAAAATTCCCAGTTAACATGCCTCCCCTAGACCACTCCTTCCTTCATAAGGTACCATAATCCAAAGTGGCCTGGCTCCCACAGTCTCATTCATCATCCTTACCCTCAAACGTAGCTGATCTCAGCTAAAATGTTATGGGAGCAACTATGTGGTTAACCAATTTCTTAGTGTCATAGTGTCCCTCTAAGCCCTCAGTGGGATAGCTACACTTTGAGAGATTTATTTTGGGATTCTTAATCTAATGGAGCCTCAAATTTGTGGAATTTCTGGTCATTTGGAGAGGATTATGAGCACCATCCAACCCTAGATGCAGGGATATCCAGTCTTTGAAGTCAGGCTCTGGGCAAAGGATCCTGACACTTCAAAGGAATCCTAACAGAACCACCTATCCTTGTCCACCTTTCCCTTTGTTCTCCAAACCAAATCCTGGAAACACTCTCGTCTTACAGAATTCCTAGGCTTGGCACCCCACTCATAAATCTTTCTTTTCCCGGCTTCAAATACCTAAGACTTGAAGAACATATATAGCACACATCTAGCAATCTACATGTGTCACAGGTGGGGCACCAAGCACTCATCTGTACATATGCACTTAGTCCCTAATAGGAACATCTCACTTCATCTCTCCCAGCAATTCGATACAATGGGCTTCCCAAGTCCCACTTGGTGAAACAGGCCCAATTTGCCTAAAGTCACACACCGAATGTGGATTCAGCCTCAGGTTTAGTCATTCATTCCAAAATGAATTTTAATAAACTCTACAGTGTGCCAAGGCCCCGTGTTGTACTGGGCAGGAACAAGGTGGCAAAGACAGAGCCCTGCTCTCAGAGATCTTATAGTCTAGTGAGGGAGAGTTAAGTAAGCAGGTTGAACAGAGTCAGTCTCTTTTCCCCTCTACCATGCTCTGGGATACAGGGAGGAAGCATGTGTGATGACAAGAATGTGGCCTCTGAACCTATAGGCTGTGAACAACACATCCTGATTTCAAATCATGGTTCTATCACTTACTAGCTATGACCCCTGGACAAACTACTTAATCTAATTAAGTTTCCACTCCTCAATACCTTGGGAGGACTCCTCCCCCAGGCTTGTCCACTCTCAGCTTTAATGTCTCAGCTCAAATATCACCTCAAAAAAAGTTTTTCCTGGCCATTGAATCTAAAGTATATTCCCTCCAACCCACCCCCGCCTCTAAATTATCTATCACGCTAGCCTACAATTTTATGTATCAACTTGAAATTCCCTGGTTTATTTTTTGAGTTACTTGTTTACTGTTTTTCCCCCACAGTTAGAGGTCTTTGATTAAAGGCTATATTCCTAAAAGCTGAGAATAGTCCTGGCCTACAGTAAACCCTCAATAAATATTTGTTAAACAAATGAGTAAGTCAACCAGGCCAAATGAACAATGCTTCAGAACTTTTCAATAAATCATTTTGCAAACTTAACCCCAAGATTTATTGAAGTTATAATGACTATTAGTTGTTCAACTTACCTAACTGATCTGATCGAAGTCCAGCCCATGGGTACCTTCGCCCCACTGAGGAATTACAGGACTCTGACAAATACGACTTTTTCCACAGAAAGTTTCTCTGGTATTCGCTCAGCCCCTGTAATGCAAAGTAAAATTTGAGTATAGTACAATGAATGAAAGTTGTTTTAAAGTAGACATCAGTAAAAATAATTTCAAAATCTCTAAAAAGAAATGAAAGACTTAAGATTGATAATTAAACACAGAAGAGCTTCTTAATAATAGCTACTATTTACCCAGCCCTCAGCTAAGCAGTTCATTGTTTTATATCCTTTAATCCTCACAACCACTTGAAGCAGATGCTACAAGGAATCCAAGGTTCAGAGCAGCTACCCTTTTCTGGTTGTCTGATTCCAAAGCCTGAGCTCTTGTCTGATAACTGGTGACAATCTAAGTCCTCATCACCATAAATCCTCACCGAGGACACAATATTATATATTAAGTGTAGTTCCTTTTTAAGTTTTATAAAGTCAACCAAAAAAAGGGGGACAAACTCCTCTCCCATTCTGAATACAAACCCTTAAGATAAAAGAAGACAGGGCTTGTGGAACACTGTGGTCAACTGTTATGCTGAAGAATGCTTGACCATTACAGCTACCAGCGACCTGCAATTTTGAACAAACCTTAAACAAATGCAAAACTATAAATAATGTGTATTTCTTATACTCTCTCAATCTTGTCAAGATCCCATTTCGCAAGCCCTTAAAAGACACAGGCACTTTAAAGATTTAAAAGGGAGGGATGTTAAATGCTAAATTGTGATGTTGTCCACAGGTGTCCCAATCTGAAGCCGCCTTAGCTCCCACTATAAATTGCCATCCTTCCATCTCCACGCCTTTGAGCCATCCTAAAATAAATCTATCTCAAACCATCTAATACTTCCACTCGGCAACTCGGAAGTGAGTGTGAGCTGAGAGGGTGCTGGGTAAGAGGAAACGAGCATCCTCCAGGATCGTGACAGACAGGCTCGGGAGCTGGCAGGCTCTGCAGGGCCGAGGCCTCCGCGTTCCTCGCCTGCTCTGCCACAGCTCCCCACATCAGCCTTCGGGCCTGGGAACCCCGGCTCACCTTGAAGCGCACCGGCATGTCGCCCGGCGCTGGAGCCCCCGCCACTCCGACAGTTAACGGGACAAAAAGCCCCGAGGGGGCGGGGCGACAACACTAGGTTCCCTAGCAAATATCTCGGCCTGGCGTCCCCGACTACGCGCCGGCGCACTCCTCGCTGCCCTCCTTGGGCCCTGTCGCTCTGCCTTTCCCCGCCCATTTTGAAGCCTAAGAACCAATAGAGACTCGGGAACCCCTCGCCGTCGTGAAGATTCGACCAATCAATGCCGGAAAGGGGGACGTCCCCTTCCCGAGCCGAACCCCGTGGGCGGATAGAGATGGCGGGCGGAAGGCGGGCCAATGAGGCTCCCGGAACTGGAGTGGGCGGGGCCCCGCGGGAGCTTCGTCCTGAGGAGGGTTGGTTGTCGCCCGAGTGCCGGCTCCTGCGCAACAATGGGTTTTCGAGCTCCTGGGATTCGTGAGTCGCCGCCTCGCTGCGCCCAGGTTCTTGTGAGAAAACGTGAAGGTGTGTTCTTAATTCCAAGTTGTGTGACAGAACGGAATGTTTCTTTTTATGACATGAAAATGTCCAGGGCTGTTCCTAAAGTCAGTTCCTACAGCCGACAAATATGCTACACTGTTGACTGTCGCAGCAAAAGGAATACGCCGGAAAATAAATATAGCTTAGTCAGGCCAAAAAAATTGTTTTAATCAATCTTGAAAGACGGACTGTTCACTTCCAGTTTTGTTCTTCCCTCCCACACACCCCCTCAATAAAAAAAATACGTAGCTCTTAGAAAACATTCATTAATTGTGCTATGAGTCTCAAATTACAAAGCTTCGGCCTTGTCTCTCCTCTCACCCTTTTTAAAAAATAAAATTCCACCTGATTTTAACAGTCTTTTACACATCATTATCAATAAATATTCCTTGAGATTCTACCATTGACTGAACACTGCTGACCCTGACGATGGGAGAGAACAAAATTGTCCAGATAGTTCCCTTATATATTTGCGTGAATGACCATACATAGTCAGTAATGGTGTATTGTATCATGTGCTAAATTTACAAATGAGAGGTATGAATGATAAGGGCTATAGGAATTGGATGAGAAAGTCATCCCTGAGGGCAGAAACGATTAGAAAAGCCTCAGGAAGAAATATTCAGACTCAGCCTTGAAGATTCGAAGGGTTGAAATAAGAGGAAAATGGGACAATCAAAGGGCAGAAGTCTGAATGGAATGCTGCCAGGCTTCTTCCAGCAACAATGAATGCAGTGCCTTTTACTTTTGTCATTTGGTGACGGAAGAAAAGGATCCCCTCTTTTAAACTTTCTAATATTAATGCCAATCCTTAATGCTCTCCTTGAAGCATTTTCTGCAAAGACTTGTCTTCTAATCCTAATTGATGTCTCTTTTCTTCTCTATCATCACCAATACTTAAAAATTCATTTGAAGCAGCCACCTGATATCTGATACAAAGAGAATATTAAATTCGTCCCTATGCAGCCATGCCACCAGGGAGCCCTTGATAAATGTTAATTGGTGATGACAGCATCTCTGTTGTGTAAATTAAGAATGGCAAAAAACAGGTAGAATGGACCATAAAACAAAAATCCTCTGCAGGAAGATAGTCCAGATCTTACAGGGTAGGAAAGGCACAGCTCTGGTTGTGCACACAGCTTCCACATAATGCTAAGGTGAAATCAGTAAAAGCCAAGTATGTAGAATGCAACCTGTCTGCCGAACGAGGACAGTGATAACTGCTGTTGAGCTCTACTGAGCAGGGAACAAATGACAAGAAAACCAAGCAGCAGATGGTAAAAAATGACTTAGTCACAACCCAAGTATGCTGAGATGTGTTATAAGGAATCAAGGAAGAAGAATATTTTACTTTGTTATTTTTCATAAACGCCTACCTCAGTTTATGAGCCAAAGATGTAGAAATGAAAAAAAAAGAGGCAACCGTAGTAAATGAAAGTTTTGTAGCCTGGTTTTACCAGCTCTTAACACTCCCGAATACTGCAGGAAACCGACCAGTACCCTACTAAGTTCCACTCAGGTGTCCTGGGGAGCCCCTAGGAAGTGTCTCACTTGTGCTTGCAGCTCCCATTTATAGTTTGCCCAGCAGCACTGCTACTTCTTCCAATAGCCACACATCTGTAGGTGTCACTTTTCCCCCTGGCCACCAACATTTACTGGGGACTGAGTCACCACTGGGCACAGCATGGAGCCTCCTTGGGCAGCTCAGCCCTGTTGGGGATCTGTGGCAAAGCACCTCACTACACTTTTTGTGTTACCCTCTGTTAAGTGAGTAGTAAAGTGTCTTAGAGAACTTTTCCATTTTGTATGTTAGCCTTCCTTCTCCCCAAAGGACTCAAAGTGAAGTCCATGGAGTCTAGGACAGAAAGTAATTCCTCAAGTGATGTACTGAATTCTGTGCTTAGATGAGCTTCTCTCTTCCAGCTAAGGCACTCTTACTGAGATGAGGGTGTCACACCTGGCTCCCCCTTCCCTTTTTTGATTTCCTTTTCTCATGTATGTAGATTTCCGTTTATTGCCTATGAAAGACTAAATTGGTACAACATCTATAAAGGGCAATTTTGCATTGCTTTTACCCAGCAGTTTCACTTTTATAAGTTATCTTACAGATATCCTTGCCCATATGTGAAAAAAAAATTCATTTAATGTTGTTACTGCATTATTTACAGTAACAAAAGGTGAAAACAACTTAAATGTCTATCTGCAAGGTACTAGTTAAATACATAATGGTTCCTCCAGGGCACAGAGCAAGAACAGGCAGTGCAGCAGGTCCAGATAACAGTTCAGGCTGCTCTGCTCCTTTGGGTTTTTTGACCCAGCAGATCCAGGAGGGATCTTGGACCCCTCAGATATCAAGGGTGTACCATATCCATCAGGATCTGGCTGGGAAAATAGAAAGTACCAGAAGCATTTCAACAGAGAAAATTTAACATAAGTCACTGGTTAGTTAGTTACTGGAGAACTTTAAAAAGCTAAAAGGCGAAAGAGAAGATAGCAATTCCAGGAAGCAGCTCACACCCTGAGGCTGGAAGAACAGGGAAAATGTTGAGGTTACTGGAACGCAGGGCTGGGTGGAGAGACCTCACGGGAGTTGGTCAGACCTCTGAGGGGTCACTGCCCAGCTGATTGTGAAGCCTCTGAGGGGACTAAATGAGGCTGACCAAAAAAAAAAAAAGAAGGGAAGAGAAGGGAATGGGAATTGAGGAGATTGAAACCAACTGTCACCATGGAGGTAAAGATCATTGTTCAGGGGCTGCTGAGAGGAAGAGCTAGCAAAAGAGGGCATTCTAGTCTCTTAGAGTCCTCTCTTAGCAGACCTAACAGGGAGCTAGCAGTGTCCAAAGGGTCTGCAGTTTCCAAAGGGTGAGAGACGAGAACTGAGACAATAGCTTATCAACTTGCACACCCCCATACAGCCCTTAAAAAGAAAAAAGCATTTTTTAATGAGCTAACATGGAATGATCTTAAAAAAAAAAAAAGAAAGAAAGAAAGGCAAGGTGTAGAAGAGTGTGTGTAGTCTACCATTAGTTGGGATCGAAGAAAGACAAAGAAAGGAAAGAAAAAATAATGTCACATGATGGTATCATTCACAGAGTTTTTCCCTCTTGAGTCTGACTCCATTAGCAGTAGTTATGAAGATGAACATTTTATTCAACTTACAAATATATGGAAACTTTATGGTTTTGATAGTTATCATTAGGGCTAGCCTCCTCCTTAAAATAAGTCCTTCCATTGACCTTTTCTAGAGTCACTTTGATTTATATAAATCACAATAGGGCTGTTGCTCCTTTTAGAAACAAAACTGTATCAAAATCCTTTAAAGCAATGTTAATTTGTACTTGAACTATATATATATATATAGTTAATTTGTACTTGAACTATATATATATATATCACTCATTCTATTAAAAACAGGAAGTTGATGACTTCACAAATCTAACAATCTTTATACAATCATTACCATCATTTACTTGGTAGCAATTGAAGAGAATTTGCATTTGCCTCTAACTATATTTATTTTTGTTTAACAAACAAAAATATATTATATATAAACACTTCTACAAACAATAAAAGTTGAAGAAAGAAGATACAAAGATGAGTACAGCCCTTGCCTTCAACTGTGATTACAATCAAATGAGGGGACAGCCGCTTACACAAAGAAAACAGGAAACGGTAGAAAGGAGGAAGCAAGGAAGGGGCTAAATGTGAGCACTCTGGTATTCTGAAGATGCTTTTAAATCTGGGGCCAGAAAGTTGGATCTAAGAATGGGGACTAAAGAGCAGACAGGATAAGGGAGCTGCTTTTAAATTCCATCCTGGGAAACATTTGATCACGAGGACCTTTCACTTTCTCTTTTGTTATGCCCCCAGGTAGCTGAATCCAGGCCAGAGATCAGGAAGATTTTGACTAACATTTGCTCAAGATTCATTCCTCCCCCGCACAAGGTAAATTACTTTATACATGTTGTCTCTCTTTTTTTTTACCTCATTGCTTCAGAAAGTAAGTAAACTTAACAGAGTAAAGCTGTTTTTGAAACTGCCATTTTATCAACACAGTGATACATCATTCTTAGTTTGCATTTGTATAATTTTCTCTGAAATGCCTTACAAGGTAACTGAAATTCCAGTTTCCAGGCTCAGCAATGCTCTGGCACTTGTAACTTCCTCCCAGGTCACAATTACATGGGCTTTCCTTGGTAAATCTTGAGCTCAGCCTTTGCCAAAAAGCAGTCTGTCTGACAACTGCTTTCTTTGGCGTTTTTCCATAGGTATTAACTGCTTTTTCCTCATGTAAATGAATTTCTGATTGCATAACTGAAAACATAATGACAAAATTAAGTCCATAGATTCTGTCTCAGAAGAAAAATTGCTGATATGTCACATTAATGTCAGTAAGAATCAAATAAACAGGGTCTGTGATTAAGACTTACCAGTGAGCCAAGTGCAATTTGCCCTCCAGACTTTTAGCCCTAGGTGCCTTTGTTGACGAAGAAGTGTCTACCTTTTGAATCAGTGGGGCAACTTTTGGAGGGACTCCAGGTTCTCCTGACAGCACGGACGTGTGTGTGTGTGCGCGCGCGTGCCTGAGGGACTCCTTGCCATACAAGCTATGGTGGAGTAAAGTAATTCTCAGTGAGGCATAAACCACTGCAGACCTCATATATGACAATAATATGTTGTGCCTCTACTGAGCAAGGCACAGGGGACAAGATGGGGGCGGGGGACACAAAATTCTTTTCATTTTAATGCCTTCATTATTGAAGATTCTGTTATCTAAGAATTACCTTCCTTTTTCTTCACTGATTATTCATCATCTTAAATCACCATCCCTACAAAAGCACCCACAGAGTGTTCTAGAATTGGTAACTTCACAGATTTTGAAGCATTAATTCTCTGACCACTTAAAACCAGATGTCATGTCTTAAGGTCAGATCTGAGGATGATACCCACCTTCCTTCCTAAGAACCTTGTAAATCTCTATGCCAAAACAAATTTTGAAGTGTTCTTTTATCACATAGTTATGTATATATATCTTAATAACTGCAGGTCAAGACTAAATACTCATGATTCCTTCTGAAATCACTATTCTTTCTATTAACATTTTATATCAAGTATCAGTAAGGGACTAAGAATTTTTCAGAACATAAATCAGTTTCCTTTTCTTAGTGACTTGTTAGTTCCCTTAAGGAACTTTTATTTTAACTTTGCAGAAGCAATGAGTTCATAAAATCTTAGTAATTATGTTGTTCATCCTTCGCTCTTAACTTCTACTGATTGAATTAATGATGTTGGACAGTGTGGAGAGCAATATGCCCAGTTGTGAAGTATACTGCATATATGAATTTAAAGAAATTGTTTCAGTATCATTGAGCACTACTATGGAATAAGTTGTAGGAATCATACATTTTTAGTTAATCATAGCTGTGGCAGATACTGAGGCTGACTCATTCTAAATCCGTTTCAACCTCCTCATGTCCTGCAGAAGCTAGAAAGATAAAAATTCCTTTGACTGTAGATGTTGTTACAGCCAAAGTCCAGGTGTAACTTACATTCTGCTGATGAGAAGCACTTACATAAACTGAATTAGATGGAAAAAAGATAAAGCACACACATCTACCATGATGGAACAAATCATGGCAGTAACAGCAATAGCATGGTTCTGAGTTAGCAGCTTCCTATCATGGCAGAAGTGTCAGATTCTGGAGCCAGGGTTTATAGCAGTGGCTTGTCAACTTAGTAGGGAGCTTTCCTGGTTCTACAACTTCCTAACTTAATGAGTCTGTTATGTGATGTGGCCTCAGAATCTACTTCTTCAGACTTCACAGTGATTCTGTAAACTACTTGTATCAATCACTTATTGCTATAATAATGCTGTGTAACAAACATCCCCAAGTGGAGCAGCTTAAAACAATAACCATTTATTATTGCATGAATCAGTTGGTCAGCTGGCCAGTTCCACTGGTCCAAGTTGAACTTGGCTGACCTTACTGAGCCTGCTCATAAATTTGTGATCAGCTGATAGGTTAGCTAGAGGCAGACTGGCCTCAGATGGCCTTGGCTAGGACAATACATCCCTACTTCATGTTGGCCCTCATCTTCCACCAAGCTAGCCTGGATTGTTCTCATGGCGTTTCAAGAAGAAGAGCAAGGTGTGCAAGACCTTTTGAGGATTAGACTTTCTACCTTATTCCAGTAGGCCAAAGCAAGTCACAAGGCCAGCAAAGATTCAGGGGGTAAGGAAATAGACTCAATCCCTTGATGAGAAGCATTGCAAAGTCACATTGTAAAGGAAGAATGAAAAATTGGGGCTATTTTTGCAGTAAATCTACTTCAACACTAAATACCCTGAAAATAGCCTTTCTATTTTGAATAGCTAGAGCAAATTATATTCTCTGCAATTTAACCCTAATACAACAGTGGGTTAGACACTTTCATTTATCTCCTTTCCCTCTTAAAACTCTAAAAAATTACAGTGAATGAGGAAAACAGGTACAAACTGGTAAGGTCAAAGAGAACAGCAGAGGTAACCACTGCAAAATAGAGATAACAAATTCTGGTTATATGGTGAGCAGTCTGTGGTGGACTGGGTTCTCTGGGAAGTGGACTCTGAGATGAAGTTGCATGTCCTGAATGTTTATTAGTGAGGGCCCTAGAGGGTCCACACCTGTGGAGGGAGGGCAAGGGAATAAGAGTGAGTAGAAGTCAAGTTGCAAGGCAGGCCTGACAACAGCCTCAGCCAACCCCATGGGGAGTCCAGAACTAACATGGCCTGTCAGAGTGTCCTGTGTTGGGCCATACGGGGCTTCCCTAGGAAGGCATGGCCTTGGGCCAGGTGGCTTTCTACAGTGAAGAGTCCCTAAGAGGGGTGACAACAGAGAGCACAGCTAGTAGTAGCAGCACTTCTCCTTCCATGAACAGGATGTGGACAGTGCATCATTTAAGCATCTTCCCACTAAGCAGTCAGTGTTTCTAACAAGCAGCATATATTTGAAGCTATAGACAAAAAGCCTCTGTTCCCACAGAGAATAGTCTCAATGCAGCTATTGGAGTCTTAGTTCCCAAACCTTCAGGAGTGAAGAAGGGTACCTGTCAGCACTGGTACCCTTTGTGCAGGCACTAGGCCTGAATTTTGCTGTGGCCTTTTCTTTCCTTCCTTATGCTGGTCTCCTCTACCTTACCACGTGGCACAGTGTTACACTTGGCAGCCACAGTAGACCATCCACAGCCTTGTTCTTCCAGAAATTGTGGTAATGTTGGTGCCAAGCAAGCAATTAGGAAAGCCAGATCCAGAGGCCAGCAGGACATTTTGCTGATGAATTCCACAAATAAAAGAATGGATGGGAATTGGAGCTGAGAGGGAGCACAGGAACCCCTACTGACTGTAGAGGGGAGCAAGGAAAACAGAAACTGGACCTGAGGATCTGGTCCTAGGACTCATCTTTCTACCTATAGGTGTGTAAAATACAACATTAAGGAAAACTGTCAATATCAGCGAGCCAAAAGAGAAACATTATTGGCTCCTAAAATTAATTCCTATTAAAGCCATGTATAAACTGGCTCCTACCATTTATGCCTGATTACCATGCAGCACAGTAGCAAATGTACATGTCATAGTGTGTGCTCCATAATTAATTGGAAAGCTAAACTCTGCAATTATATGGAGCCGTTAGGGTTTGTTACTTCTTCCTTGTAATCCAAGGCTCACGTCATGGCACTAAAGAACACATGAGCCAGAGGACAACTCCATTCTCTTCTGATGAGAGAAAACTGGAACAAATCCATGTTTCAAATAAATGTTCTTTTTACAACACAAGCCACTTTGTTATTTTTAGTTGTGCTGTTCTCTTGATCATGGGCTTTTATTGTTAAGAAAGTAAGTGTTCATTTCCAATATACACTCCATCTTAGCCAAATGCAGTAAGGTATATGCAAACACTTTGTGAACTGAAAAGTGTTACAGAAGTGTGAGCATTTCTTGTTATTAGGTATTAAGAATGGTCTCCTTTTGTATGACCCCTCATTTTTACTGTTCCTAAACAGTGGAACTGACATGGTTTAACAATCTTTTTTTCTTTTCTTTTTTGTTATGGAGATATAATTGATGTATAACATTATATTAGTTTCAGGTGTACAACATAATGATCTGATATTTGTATTTACTACAAAACAATCACCACAATAAGTTAACATCATTCCCCATACATAGTTACAAAAATTTTTTTCTTATGATGAGGACTTTTAAGATCTACTTTTTTATAAGCTTTCAAATTGCAATGTAGTATTATTGGTTATAGTTGCCATGCTATACATTACATCCTCATGATTTACTCACTTTAAAACTGGAAGTTTTTACTTTTTGACACCCTTCACCCATTTCTAACCTTATTAATCTGTTAGTCTCAAATTTATTATAAACAATACCTTTTCTGATTAGTGTCATTATTGTCCAATACTTACTGAGTGCTTGCTACATGTCTTGGGACTGTATATACTGTATCAGAATGGTTCTGTCAGGTAAGTGGTACAGATATAAGGGGCTTCATATAGAAATGACAGCTTGCATGGATGGAGTGGAGCTGGGGACGTAAAGGTCTAGAAGGAGGCAGCCGTAAGAGTGGAGAGCCACTGATCTCTTCACCCTGAAGCCCTGGAGTGTGAGTGGAGAAACTCAGCTCATGGTGAGCTTCGAGAATCCTGCCATAAGTACAGAGTGAGAGCTCACAGAGAGGGCTGTGAGCCCCCATGTCTGGTTAAGCCCTGAGGAGCCTTGGCAACCGAGGCCTAGAAACAGTCGTCTCCCTTTGCTCCTGCCTTCCAGGTCCTGTACAAGTTGCAAACTCAGAGTCTCATTCATAAACTCTAACCCAGAACCACATAGAAAAGGGGATTCTGGGAAGGGAAGTTCTCAGCCTTAGACAGGAGTGATGGTGGCAATGCCAACTTAC